CTTAGCAAATTTGTTTAGTGACTATGGAAAATCTCTGGTTGTGATAAATAGAGTTATAGTGAAAAAGATGAGTTTAATTGGCATCCCAACAGCCGTGCATCTTGGGACTTCCTGCCTTAGATTATATATAAACTGCTACAACTGTTTGCTTCAGCCAGAAAGGCTGAGAAAAACTTGTTAGATGTGCTTGAAACAGTTGCCATCGACGGTTTACTGTGATTCTTACAGTGAATTTTACTGCCCTATCTTTCTGTTGGCTGAATCACTACAACTGAATTAACCATCATTTATGATTGATGTAGCATGGCTTTAAGCACTAAGCTATAAAGATGCTGTACACAAAGGACAAGAGAGGAAAATAAGAAATAGTATTAATGACACTGCTTCTGTTACATTTAATGAAATTATAATTGTGAGGTTGCTGATGATATTCTTGTAGAGGACAGCTAGAAAATAGGTGAAATTAAATTCTAGACATTGCTTTATTAACTATACATGTAATAAGCTTAAGGGAAATGTATAAAAGGATATAAATAGAATTATATTAATATAGAAGAGGACAGAAGGAAAAAAGCAAGGTGAACCAAATATTCAAAATTAAGAATATAGAAGCCAGTGTATCAGCAATAACAGTTAATGAAAATAGTATACAGATTCTTAAATTGCATTTTTAAAACTAAATCAAATCATGTTCACTTGCAAGATCCCCTTTAAACATAATGGACAAATCATTTGGAAATACATTGAATATGAAAATGGACAAAAGAACTAATGTAAGTCAGAAATTAATATGAGGTTTCTCCAAAACTGACAAACTTTGAAGAGACTAGTAAGGAACTAGAGAAAGATGAAGCAAATGTATCGGATTCATTGGCTGTTATGTGTAGTTTGCAACAAAAAAGCAAAATGTACTGCTTTAATACTCAAAAGTGTCACCAAGAAAGAGCAGCCAAATTAAACAGAACTTTATAGAATCTTTTCTGAAACTATTCCTTACTTGGATTCCTACTTCTATTTTGCAAGTGCAGATTACCTCTGTGCTTCACAATAATCTTTTTTTCTGAGAAAGAGATGCTTAACTTACTATAACATCCATTATGCTGCCAATTGTTTAAAAATGCTGGATGTTTTAGCCATGCGTAGCTGGCCTCCTGAAACAAAACTGCTAAAAAGTGGATGGGCATTTGTAGTGAGCTGGAATCTTATTTCTCTGAATCTGAAAGGTTGCTGCTGCTAATAATAAGTACAACCCTGAAAATTCCATGCTCTAACACTTGTTTAAATGACCTGCAGCCCAACATCACCTTGCCCTGATACCAGTGTCAGCATGTGTGGACTTGATAAGAACAGTGCAACACATCACAGTGCACATTAAGTTTGACAGTTTTACCTCTACATCAAAGAAAAGCAGCTCGGGCAATTCATTGAAGTACTATTGGATAGGAAGCAAAAGCAATAAAAATATCCTGGTGTATAATGAGACAAATGGAAGTATATCAAAATTTTATTCATCATAGGCATTATCTTTTTAATTAGTTCTATTTTGATTACATGTTTTAAGCATATGCAATATATACCCTGTAAAATGTAAATATTCTATAAGTAATCTAAAACAGGTTTAAAAAAGTGAAAGCATAATGACAGATTTTTACTGACCTGACTCTTCTGTGATAACCAGCTAGGAAAGCACATGAGAAAAGGCAGCTGTGTGCAGATACTGGTCCATAGGCATCGCAGGACGGCACTCTGAGAGCGGTGTGCAAGGACTTCCCCAGCTTTCTGCTTAGAGGTATTACCTGGCACAGAGAAGAAGAGTTCACAGGGTATTACTATCTGTCTGAAACTACAGATCCAAAAATTAGAACTCAGGAAAACTGCAGTCATTGAAATTTGCAGGCAGAATACCAAAAGGGGGAAACTACTCACTGAAGTTCTCAGAAATCTGCCTCGGTATCCCCTTGGGTCTTTGACTATTAAGCAGTGTGTGTGTGCAATGGATGAGATGCTGATTCAAGCTAAGAACAACTGCCAGGCAGCTATAAGCAGAAAACGACCAAAGTCTGGGGTATATATCCATGTTTTAACTAGTCAAAATGGAACAATCTTGTGTGGACACCCAGGATATTTAGCAGAAAGCCCCAGAGAGGCCATGCCTTAGTACTAGGCTGTAGACTTTACACAGCAAAGCTTGAAAACAAGCCTTGAATGAATCAAGGTAATGCAGCAACAAATTAACTGCGTCAAAACTTTTTTTTTTTTTTTGCATAAAAGAACTGGGGTGTAAGCTAGTGGTATGGGGGATGAGAGGGTTTACCAGAGACAGAGTGGGGAGCAGAACAGGCAGATCTACTGAAATACACTGCTGAGGGGAGCAACACTACCTCGAAACTTTTTAAAGGAAGATCCCCTCCCCCACAAAAAAAAAAATCCAGATAACTCAAAATGATCAGAATCCAATAAAAAAAAAATTAGCTATAAAGAAGATATTAGCACATTTGAAGACAAGACGGTTGAAACTAAACCACAAGGAGGAAAAAATCTGAAACAAAAATGAGCACTCTTATTGACCCGTGGGACAATACATGATCTAACATTATCTATTCAAAGTTCTACGGAAGGGAGAGGAGAAACAAAACTATGAGGAGAAAATGGCCATAATGTTATGAATTTGATAAAACAGACAAACTCATATATCCAAGCTTAACTAATCTCAAGCATATTACTACAGCAAAGCCCATTATAATTCATTCACAGAAACCAAAATAATTAGAACATCTCAGAAGCAGATAAGAAAACACATTACTTATATATAGAAAAAGACTTTCATCTTCTCATCTGAAACAATGCATCAGAAGACAATGGGAATACTCCTCCTTAACTGAGGTCTACCTTGATTGACATATGTGAAACTGCAGGCCTTCCCCACATACCTTGCCTCCATTACCCAGACCTATGTGTGTTCTCCCCAGTATTTGTCATTTTATACTATTCAATCATAATGGGGATATGTTCAGCGATTTTACCATTGTGAAATGTGATGTAGTATAATTGCACAAACCTACTACAGCCACCTGCACCTTAGGTTGTATGGTCCAGCCTGTTGGGACCAAGGTTATATACGTGATCTATTGTTGACTGCAACACATGGTTGTACTACATAATGTGTGTGTTGTCCCCTAGAATGTAGTGTTTCCCTGATTCATTCACTGATTTATCTTTAACACCTAGTAAAATGTCCTGCACATAATAGCCTTTAGCAAATATTTATCAAATGAACAAATGGAAGAAAAACAGTTGTTGGTAAGTGTATTAATCAGGATTCTCCAGAGAAACAGAGTCAGAAAGATCTATGTATCTATATGTTCTTATCTATATCTGTCTGTCTATCTGTCTAGATTTATTTTAAGGACTTGGCTAAAATGATTGTAGAGACTTGATAAATCCTGATTCTGCAGAGTAGGGGTAGCAGGTTGAGACCAAAGGTTGTCTGCTGGCAGAATTCCTACTTGCTTGGGGAAGCTGGTCTTTTTCTTAAATTTTCTTTTCCATTAAGACTTTCAAGTTGCTTGGATGAGGTTCACTCCATTACAGAGGCTAATCAGCATTACTCAAAGTACACCGTTTAAGTGTTAATCTCATACATCCAGAATGTTTGACTAAATACCTGGGTACCATAATAGTCTACCATGTTGACACACAAAATTAACCATCAAAGTGGGGTATGGGGAAAGTCTCCTTTCCTATACTGCTAATAGATAAGAGTATAAGTTGGTGTAACCACTTTGAAAAATAATTTGGCATTATATAATAAAGTTGAATACATACATATCCTACCCTGACAAATACATAAAATCACAAATAAGCATGTTTGAGAATTCTTCTAAAGTGTTAGTTGGAATAGTAAGAAAATAAAATTAATCTAAATGTTTATTGGTAGGGAAATAGGCCAAGTAACTGTGGTATATGCCTAGATTAGAATACTATATAGCAATTAAAACAAAGTACAATTACATAATCAGTATGGTTTAAAACATATAGTGTTGTAACCCAGTTACCTCAATTAAAAAAAATACAATTTTTAAAAATAACAGTGAATGAAAAAAATTAGTTGCAAAATGACATAAATTTTGACAACTCAGAACCATAATTTGTTTGCTTCAGTAGTTTTTTATCAACACTGGTTTTGCTAAGATTTTCCTGTTTAGTACTATAAAAGAAATGCACATAAGCACAGGCCTTTTTTTCTGACATACTGGGATAGAGATGACTAAAAGATAGACTTACAGGGCCTCCCTGGTGGCACAAGGGGTTAAGACACAACCCATGAAACTGTCCACAGCCACTGCATCATGAGTTCAGTCCCTGGCCAGGGAGATACCCATACGGCACAGCAGACCTCTCCTGACTCGCTCGCTGCTCCCCTCAGCAGTGATTTCAGTCCAGTCCACCTGTTCTGTACCCTACTCTGTCTCTGGTGAATCCTCTCAGCCCCCACTTCTGGCCTGTACCCCATTTCTTGTATGCATAAATAAATCTTAAAAAAAAAAAGATAGGCTTATGAAAAACTTATTATTGTGACTAAAGTAAACTAAAAATGAACTTGTTTGTCCCCATGCCCATTTAACTAATTTTTTGTCATTTAGAACAACTACATTTAAACTATGTAACCCAGGAAGAAACTTCAAGTTAGGAATATTAATATTCAAAATGACAGATTGCATATATTTTCAGTTAGTGAATAGGCTTTACATTAAAATCACATTGAATCATAACATTCCATTATGTATACTGATATTTTCTGCTTAAAAATTACGCTGTTAAAATATGATTAAGAGTAAATAAGTTATTATTGATGTTCCATCCTTTTTTCCTATCCAGCTACAAATTTGAGGTAAAGATAGTGAATTTAAGGTTCTCCTTCATTTCTTTATTTAATAACTGTGCTCTTATAAACAATATATTCTGATGAGCCCTCTGCACTGCTTTTGTTTCCTTCACAGTTGTCAGACGATGGTCGTTATGTCTTATTATCCATAAGGGAGGGATGTGATCCAGTAAACCGACTCTGGTACTGTGACCTACAGCAGGAACCCAATGGCATCACTGGTAAGTTTTCCCAAACATGGACAGTTGTTCCAGGAAGCACCATTACAAAGCAGTCATTTTAGTCTTCTAATTGTCTTCCTAAGACACTTTCTTCCAATTAACCGCATCATCTTAGTTCATAAAATTGTTTTGTTCTTGGCAGTATTCTATAATATGGAAAAAAAAAGTCCAATAAAGTTATTTGTTGCCTTTAGCATTTTCTATGTAAACTAATGTTAACTCTTATTTTTTTTTTCACTATGAATATGAAAATATCCTGTGAGTACTGCAGATAAAGAGTGTTAAGGAGAAGCTTTGTAAAGCATGATGTGTGTCCAGATGTGATGGTGCAAACTGTCATTGGCTAGAGAGATTACACCAGTGAGAATTTACCAAGTGTATAGGTAACAGCCCAATTTTGCTTCTTGAAGCTTCTATATCATGATAGGAAACATAGAACCAGTCAGCAACAGATTCTGGAGATGATTCACTTTAAAGGTTGATTTCTTCCAGTGTCTATATCATACCAGCATCATCATAATTAAAGTTTTTCAGCTGATGAATATTCACAGGCAAAACAACTATCAGAGACAAGCTGGCACCCAGAAAAGGGGCACTGGACTAACTAGACCAGACTAACTAGACCATGTTCTGGTTAATGTGAAATAAAAACATCTTAGAGATGTTTTCCAAAATATACAATATTAACTGCATTTCTAATTATGAATCAGATTCTCTCATTATTGATATCTATAGTAGAATATGACAAGTAAATATATTGTAGTGTTAAATAGCCACTTAATAAAGCAGCTTTGTTTTTGTTTAAAAAAGAGGATATACCCATTTTGATCTCAAAAAAAAATTGCATCAACCACATTGATTTTCACAAACCTCTGACAGGAATAAACCACCACCCACAAATTGTTCACTGGAGTTTCAAGTCTAGGTCTACATAAAACTAAGCAAATTACTTAAGATCAAATATGAAAGAAACAGTAATGGCAGTGGCAATGTTCTTCCTCCAGAGAATGCTGCTTTCACGCACTACTTACCTTTTCATTGTATCTTTATTTCTTTTTTTTTTTTTTTTTTTTTTTTAAAGATTTATTTATTTATTTATACAAGCACTGGGTACAGTCAGAAGCGCGGGAGGGTGAGAGAATTCACCAGAGCCAGAATGGGGAACAGAACAGGCAGACTGACCGAAATACACTGCTGCGGGGAGCAGTGGGCGTAACAGGAGAGGTCTGTCACGCCATGTGGGACCCTCACTGGCAGCCAGGGATCGAACCAGCACTGCAGAGGCTGCGGGCAGCTTCGCAGCCCAGCACTCAACCGCTGCGCCACCAGGGGAGGCCCTTCATTGTATCTTTAAATACTAGGTGGGCTTATCATTTAAAGATATAAGTTTACAATTTAAAAAACTACAAATTGCTCAATTTGCTCTACATGCAGAGAAGAAAATTGCATACACAGAACTGCTGTTGCTGTGTCCGCTTTCACAATAAATGGTAGTGCTTTGAATGAAACTTCTAAGTGCCTGAAGATGTTGGGGAAACCCTGTTTTCTTCCTGATCTTTTTTTCCTACCTTCTATACTTTTTATACACCCCTCCCTCCAATTTACCATTGTAGCATTAATGAGGAGTTAGAGAAAGGGATGTGATACCCAGAGGTTAGGATTTCAAAAGGAAAACAATGCAGAGGCTCACTAGACCCTTGAAAAGCAAAATTCTAGACAGTACAAACCATGAATGAACTTAAGAACAAAAAAGGGAATAGTTTAAGAAACCCTAAATGGAATGATGCATTCCAATTGGAAGAAGCTATTTGCAAAATAAGCCACATCCTGGCCTTCTCTCCCAACTTGATCTTTCCTTGAGTCACTTGGCCCTTATCTTCCCTCCTCATGCTGGTTTTGCACAGCTAAGTGAAGAGATCAGTGCAGAGCAAGTATGCAGTAAATACTGTAATTAGTTTTCCAAATTCCAATCTCTTTATGTTTCTTCCAGAGGTTCTTTAAGATTATGTTGTGATCTGAACAGTTCCATCTGTGTGTTTGATTAGGACTATGCATAAAACTAAATTTATTTGAGACTCGGTCAGGAATGTATTTTGGGTTTGGGAGATAGGGATGGTTTGTAACTATAACTGTTATGTTTTACACAGAGAAGCAGAGCCAATAGGAGATATATGTTAAGAGATTTATTGTAAGGAATTGGCTTACCGGGTCGGGGGGCTGGCTAGGTAAATCTGAAATCAGTGGGGCAGAAGGCTGCTGTCCACAGATGGAATTTCTTATTCAAGGAAGCCTCAGTTCCACTACCACTGCTTTTCTGCTGATGGAATCAGGCCCACCTAGATTCTTCAGTCTTCTTTACTAAGTCAACTTATGGTCTTTATACTCAGTGCAAAGTACCTTCATAGTAACACCTAGGGTAGTGTTTAATAGATTAACTAGGGACATTAACCTAACCAAACTGACATGTGAAAAAAGATCCTCACAGTGAGCTCATGGAAAACCACATAGAGAGGAAAAAACAAGTCTCATGATTCTAACCTAATTTCACTTTTTAGAAATGTTACCTAACTGAACAGTAGTTGGGATTCATTGAGACATTTTAGAATAGTATGTAACATCCTGGGCGGGGGCGGGGGGGGGGGGAGCAGAATTTGACGTGAATAATGGAATAGCTGCATTTGAAGCTGTTGAGATGCATATTGATGGGTTGGGATCAGCCCCTAGTGTCACAGGTCCCTACTAATAGCTGCTAGATTCTGGCTACAGCACTGGGCCTGACATCATTTTTAAATTATTGCTTTATTAGCATTAAATGTGTGGCTATGTAAATCCCAGAGTACTTACTCTTGAGTGGCAGGCACAGGGCTCTGAAAGCTTGTGAGAGTTGCAGTGATTGGCTAGTCCACAAGGGTGAAGAGACTGTCAGTTTCCACAACTGGGTTCCAAAGTCAGTTGTGTAGGTCAAGATTAGCAAGATCTCAGTTTTTTTTGTATTTTTATTTTTCAAATCAGATTTTAATCTCAGCCCTACCACTAAGAGACTCTTGGAAAATTATTTTCTCTTAATATTTCATGACTGCATTAGGGATATAGTATCTACTGCACAAGGAATTGTGAAGAATAATGAAAATACCTAGAAAAGACTTAACAGGGTTCCTGGCATCTAACACCTTCTCAGGTGTTCCTTTGTTTCTTGACTGAAAAGAGAAATATTCAGAATCTCCTTGCTTGGGTTTTAGGTTGCATAGTAAAGGTGATTGTGGATGCCCGAAGAAAACATTTCTCTTCATTTGCAAAGCTACTCCAAACACACATCTTGGTATTGATTTGTATTCCTTAGAACCAGATTCTTAATCAGAAGAGAGTCCTTTCTTTTTTTTTTTTTTTTCCCAATAGCAGGAAAAATATAATTGAAATATGGGCAGTGGATCTGAATAGACATTTTCCCAAAGAAGACATGTAGATGGTCCACAGGTACATGAAAATATGCTCCATATCGGGAAAATGCAAATCACAGGCACAGAGAAGAGAGTCCTTTCATTGAAGAAAACATGTAAATAGCGGTGCCTCTTGTGGAAGAATGACGGGAGTTGTCTAATTTCTCAGGTTGATAATTGATATTGTGTGATATATATGCCTAGGATCCTTTTCTTGCTTTTTTCTTATTGTTACCCCACTTTTGTTTTCCTGCATCAACTAAGAGAACAATTAACATTTAAGTTGAATGCTGTATGTGCTAGTTAACTTAAATGATGAGTTAGACCTGAATGGCTAGTCACTGAAAACTAAATCCAATGTTATAAAATCTGTATATTACTGAAATGTATACCCCTTTTGATAATCTAAAGCCTTTCTGCTTGATTTTAGTCTTCTTTTACCTTGAAGCAAGGGAATTAGGATTTTTCATATAAATTAATTCTTTATTATGGCACCACTGAATTACCGGTCTCGAAAACTAAATGATTTCACTTAGACTTTTATTTTTAAAATTTCTGTCATCTTTGTCTCCCACAAACACCTTTTTGCCCCTGTGCACTTTGAAGTGAGAAACACAAAAAGTGGCCCATGGTAATGTAATATCATAGGAAAAGACAACACAGAGCAAACAAAACTAAATAAATATGGGATGGTCCAGAAGGCATCTCCCAAGAATGCCTTAGTCATGTACATTTGTCATGTAAATCATAAATTATTTTGCCTCTCTATAAAGAATTATTTTCTACCACGTTCATTTTTAGTCTTTTCACTTACGAATAATATGAACGTGATGTTACACACTGAGCCAGACGTACCCGTTCCCCCTTTCCGCAGGAGCTGCAGTTGGGCCCATGGCTGCTGCTGCTTTCCTTGCCTTTCTGAGCTGTTATTTCCCGACTCACCTCGTTCACCTTTGTGAAAATGGCACTGGGCCTATCATCTGGGCCACAGACGTTTGTATAACATTCCACATGTTCAAAACAAGCAAGCAAGTCCTCTCCAAAGAATATTGCAGCTCCTTCTGCAGAGACATGTCCCTAGTCTCTCTCTCCTTACTTTTTAGAGAGAAGAAATCTCTGCCCCAGATTTAATCTTGCTTCCTTGTGTTTTGGCTGAAACCTTCCCTCCACAGTTGGCCCTTCTGTGCCTTCCCCCATTTCTGGTGGTTTTTTTCTCCCCATAACATGAACAATGTGTGAGGACTTGGTTGTTGCACAGTATCAGGGCCTTTCCATCTTGCTCCTTGGGGGGTCCCCAGCACCTTGAACAGTGCCTGACTGATAACAGGACTCTCGTTGACAGAACTTTAATCAACTCCCCTGCGCCCTCTTTCTCAACTAGATCTCAGCCTTGGTACTCTGCCGCCATGCCTACACTGGGCCTGTGTAGCCAAGTTATAGCGAGCATCCCCGCTCTTGATATTTTACCCCCTTACTTGATCACATCCCCACCCACCAGGTAATATCTGACTACCTGTCTGTCTTCACCCAAAATTCTATTAGGTCAGTTTAGCACCACGCCCT